CCCAGCTGGCTCCCGTTTCCTTAGCTACCAAAGGAGCCATGGTGATACAGGGCTGGTGGCGGCCTACAGTGCTTCTCTTTCCTCTGCCTGAACTGGATTCTTGTTGGGGGCAGGATTGTTTGGTGAAGAAATGAATGGGCAGCCGTGTGGACCCGCCTTGCAAATTGTTAGGTGTGATTTAATTGTAGGTGTGACTTAATAAATTGTGAGTTGTTGCTCTTAAACGTGCAGGGGTCAGAAAACCTTATCATCACTCTTATTTATGGAGCCCATACACTAGGCGCGGTTTTCAGCTCTCTGCGGGTATTAACCCATTGACTCTCTTTATAACAAGGTGTATGGTGGGTGATACGATTATGCCCCTGTTACAGATAACAGAGCTGAGGCCCAGGGGTCTGTAAAATGGATCTACTGGTGAGTGGGGCACAGAGGATGGCCAGAACTAGAAATGACCAGGCTCTTGGTGGAGAGGAGGATTATTTCCATTCAACCCCAGCTTGTGCCCGCACACCCATGGAGTATCTGAGGAAGGCCTCCAGGGAGGAGGCCTGGGATGGCTCCAGCCTCATTTGTCCTAACGTGACTTTATTCATCCTCGCTGTTGATGAGAAGACTCTCTCTGAGAGGCAGCTCTGAGCCAGCAGGAGGCTGGGTGTGGGGAGGCAGAGATAAGAGAACCAGTTCCTGCCCTCCGAGAGGCCCAGCTAGACAGACTCAGACAAGAAAACAGAGGGACAGCACCAGGGTTTGGGAGGGATGGGCCCGGGAGCCAGGGAGCAGGGTGCACGCTGAGGTGTCTTCCGGGCTGAGCCTTGAGAGGAAATGGAAGCACGGGCCTCCTGGGAGGGTGCTGGGCTCCAAGGGAGAGCAGCGGCCTTCGGGGGGGGGGGGTGGTGGCGCTCCGGCCTCCTCCTTGAACACCTCCCTCTTTGCTGTCCAGCCTCCTGGGCCCCGAGCTGTGTACTGAATATATGCTCTTGTTTCCCTCCGCTTTTGAGGCGAGCAGCTAATGTCTCCCTGACCCTGGCTCTCTGCCAAAGTTGAGTAACGGTATTAACGGTTTCATCAGTACCCAGGGATCGGCACTTACCGAGGCCGTTCCCCCAAAGTGGGGATGCTTTTCCACTTCTTTGTCTGACACGCTCCCAGGCACTATTTAAATAAGGGCACTATGTACAAAGATGTGGGCACAGTGCAGGGAAGCCCCAAAGGGCAGAATTCCTTTTCTCCAAGTTTATTTATGTTTTGTAGTAATCCCTACACCCAATGTGGGGCTCAAACCCACCTACGGCGAGTGACAGAGGGCCGCGGTTTGCTGAGTCTCGGCCTTCAGGGCCAAGGGAGGGGACAGTGACTGGACCCTGCTGGGAGCTCTGCGTGAGGAGGTCGCTCTGTGGAGCTGGGCCTCTATGTTCCTGGACTGTACGTGGAGGGAGCCAGGGGAACGGACACTAGCTTCACTCTCCTCCTTCCTTCCATCCCCCTGCCAATGCCTCCCACTGGCGGTACCTATTGGAAGCCAGCTGGGAGCAGAGAGCAGGGTGGGGGGGGGTTGCGTTTCATAGAAGTCAGCCCCCCTCCTCCCCCCCGGGCAACAGAGCAGGGTGCGTGTGCACCTGGCCGGGCAAATGGGCACCATTCAGCACAAGTACGTGTGCTGTCAACGTGATGGGGCTGGACCGTGTCCCTCCAAAATTCATATGTTGAAGTCCTAATCCCCAGGACCTCAGGATGTGACTGTGTTTAGAGATAGTCTTTAAAGAAGTATTGAAGTTAAAACTCACCATTAGGTTGGTCTCAGGTCCGATATGACTGGTGTCATAAGAACAGTGCACAGGCACACACAGGGGGAAGACCACGCGAGGACACAGGGAGACGGTGGCCGTCTGCAAGCCCAGGAGAGAGGCCTTGGGAGAAACCCATCCTGCCAACTTGATCTCGGACTCCCAGCCTCCAGAATAGTGCAAAAGTACATTGCCGTGGCTTAAGGCACCCGGCCTCTGGTACTCTGTTATCGCTGCCCTAGCAAACTAATGCAATCCACATGCTAGTCAGCACGCAACGTGTCCGTTAGCAATTCGCCGGTCTCCCCCACTGGGCCGTCAGCTTGTCCAGGGCCCTGCACAGGGCCAGGCAGGTGTCAAATGCTTGCGAGATGAATGGCATCACTTAACAAGAAAATAAAACAACAAGGCCGTTTATGAAACAGCATCGAGATGCTGCAGGCCCGGGTGGCAATCAGGACATAAGAGCAATGCTGTAACTGCCACCAGACTTGTTACTTACCAGGTCTCATTTAGTCTTTGCAGAATGGTGGCTTCTACTGGCGCAGCAAGCTATACAGGGAGCTGACACTATTTAGTGGGCACATCTACCGGGGTCGGGCAGGTAGTGGAAGGGATACGGCCTTTTGGAGAGTTGACAAGTCCTATTTCCTTCTGTGTAAGATTGTCAGGACATTATCTATGGCATCAGGTAGTTGAACTATTGGATAAGACACTCCAGATTGCTGGTGCAGTATGAGGCACGAGTGTGTCAGCCCCTTGCAGCCTTGAGAAGTCCTGGTGGGAAGAGAGAAGTCTCTAATATCCAGTTTGCCTGCCCCCGGCTGCCCGACAGCTTCCTCCTTTTCATGAATGAGTGCTCCCTTGGGCATGGACTTCCTGTTGCAGGGTCAGAGGTTCCCAATTCATCCTGTTCCCACATCCCCAAGGTCCTCCTAGCTACCCACCAACATTCTGCTCTTTCAGTCGCAGAGACATTAAATACGATGCTGAAGGGGAAACTTCAAAGTTTATTAATTTATTTTGAAAGAGAGAGTGTGCGTGTGTGCAACTGGGAGGAACAGAGAGAGAGAGAGAGAGAGAGAGAGAGAGAGGGATTCCCAAGCAGGCTCAGAGCCTTCAGTGCAGAGTCTGACTCGGGGCTTGATCCCATGAACCATGAGATCATGACCTGAGCCAAAATCAAAGAGTTGGACGCCCAACCCACTGAGGTACCCAGATGCCTCAAGGACGGCAAACTTTAATGGCCTAGAAGAGGAAGTAACTTCCCCAAGAAGAACTAGAGGAAACATTCCAACCTTGCAATTCCTCCCCCATTGAGAGTTTGGGTCCTTGGCTCTCCTCCCTGAATACATTCTCCTAATTTGGTACCAGCGGTCACTGCAGTGGCCTAGGGGAGCAGGCCTGAGTGGGAGAAGGGAAGTGTGTCTGTGATCTGGGCTGGCAGCTCGCTCTGAGTTGGACAGAATTAGAAACTTGTTATGAGGCCTGGGAAGACTATATTTAGCTGGGAGCGTGTTTGCCCTCCCTAGAGCAAAGCCTTCCAGACCTTCCTGAGACCGGGAGACTGGAATCTCTACGCTTGCCCCAGCAGCCAGCCCTGTGCTCTCTCTTCTCCGCACCGCAGGGCCCCACAGCGGCGGTGAGATCCACCTCTCAGTGTAGCCCTGGGCCTCAAATCCCCCAACTCCTGCCCCCCGGGCCAGTTTCGTCCGACTTCATGGGTCTACCAGTCTCTAGCTTGAAACAGAGCTAAGGAGTCTTGTGGGTTATGGAAAGGGCCCAGGCTGTGCTGGAAGGCTGGCTCTGTCAGTGAGGTATCTGCCAAGTTACTTCACCTGCTATGGCCTCACTTTCTCATCTATGAAAGGGAAATAACAGCTACCTTCTGGGTAGACAATACAAACAAACTAACTGCTGCTCAAACATTCCTTCCCTCCTCTTCACCAGCCTCCCATGGAGTGGGAGTTCTCTGGGATGACTTGCTGTTTCTTCTGGCTGAGAGATGATAATGGGCTCCCGGGAGAGATTCTGTGTGTATGCGATTCAAAACATTTCACTGGATTAAAAAGTTCAAACATGAATAAAAACTCTAGAGGTCAAGCTCTGAAGGAAACATAAAGAAAAACTTCTGTCTTCTCTGACAGTCTCCCCGGAGATAACCAGGGTTCACAGTCTTGTGTGCCTTCCACCTAGTTTCTATCTTCATATAAACACGCTTATACAGGTGTTTTCTTTTAGCAGGTTAGGATCCTACTAAAAGGTGTTTCTCTGCAACTTCCTTTTTCATTTAAGGATAAGTTATAGGCATTCATCTAGGTGAACACATGTGGATATCACTTGTTCATTGTTAACAGCTGCATAGGATTGCATGGGACACACGAACCAGAATTTTCCATTTGATTTTTTCCCCTCCCTACGATGCTGCAGTGACGATCCTTGCACATCCTCATGAACTTGTGCTTTCATTTCTCTGGGGTACTCTCGCGTAAGTACGACTATTGGACCAAAAGGTAATCCTTAGAGGTTACTTCTCCCGGATTTTTGAGTCTCCATCTGGGAATCTGTTTCGTACACTTTCGCTTTGCCAGGCCCCCCGGAGGGGCGAGCCCGCCACGCCTCCCGCGGAGAAAACACTAGTTGCCGGGCGCAGCGGGATGGGAGCAGATGCAGGAGGCGCTCCCGGGCCTAGGGCCTCGCGGGGCGCGGGGCACAGCAGGGCACGGAGGACAGAGGCTCGAACTTTAGTGTGACCTCAGGCCAGTGACTGCCTGTCTCGGCCCCGGTTTCCTTCTGCGGAATCTGTGGCTCTAAGCAAGATAAGGCGCAGTCCGGACCCAGCGCCAACGTGATCTCAATCTTCCGTCCTGGCCTGGCTGGGTCCCCGGACGTGGGCTGCGCCTCCCTCCGTCCTTACCATCATCTCCCCTCCGCACCGCCCCACCTTCCTGACCGAAGTCAGGTCAGCAAGGCCAGAAAGGCTAAAGCAACCGCCAGCGTGAATCCCTCCTCTAGATCGGTCATTTATTGCTTCTGCCCGGCTCTGGCCCGCTTCCTCCCTTTCGGCTCGGCTATCGAGTGCTCCCGTCTGAGCCTGGCCGAGGGCCGCGCCAGTTCGGCCCATCCTTTGCTTCCGCCTGGCTCGGCTCTCCCGCTGGGGCTGCGGAGGGAGCGCCGCGATCCCCGGCTCCGCCGGCAGCCTACGCCCACTTCGCCCGCCGCCGGCGCTTCCGGTTCCGGTAGCCGCTGGCCGTGTGCGTCGCAGGCACCAGCCATGGCAGGCAGCCGGCTGGAGACCGTGGGGAGCGTTTTCTCGCGGTGTGTGCGCGGAGGCGGGGTGGGCTCAGGGTACCTGCCCCGGGATGGGGACCCTCGACTGGTCGCGCGCTTTCTGGGTGCGTCCGAGTCGGGGGAGGCAGTTTCCAGAGCGCGGAGTCCGAGCCGCGCGAGGCTCTCTCGTAGTGTCCGCTGTCTCTGAATAGGCGTGCTTGACCTCCCCACTCCCCGAATGTACCGTTCTCGTTCAGGATTGCACCTCTCGCCCTGCCGGGGTGGAGGTCTCTAGGAAGAGAAGGGAAGGAAGATGCCGATGGGCCCAGATGGACCATCTTTCATTTTCCTTTGGACGGAAATGGGGCGAGGGGGCGTGGGACGCACCCGAGAAAAAGTAAGGACTTAATCCCTGAGCGTTGTTAGTTGGTTTTGGAATATGTAAAGATCTTACCTATAGGTGGGGAGCACCTGTGCTCCGGCCTTCGTCCGCTTCTGTCTTGCGGGCTCCTGTCCCAGGCTGTGACTAGACTGATTCAGGGGCTCATATAGGCTGTTGTAACGGACTGGCCTTCGCTATTTTTCCTTCCTTAAGGACTCGGGACCTGCTTCGGGCCGGGGTGTTGAAGGAGAAGCCCCTCTGGTTTGACATATATAACGCTTTTCCTCCGCTGAGAGAGCCGGTCTTCCAAAGGCCCCGCCTGAGATACGGCAAAGCCAAAGCTGCCATCCAGGACATCTTGTACCCCGAGGATCGGATTAGAGCGTGAGTGTAGGGCCCCCGTGCTGGACAGGAGGCAGCGAAACTTCAGAAGGAAGGTTTGGCTAGCAGTCTGGTGACTTTTATAGGAATGGAGTCTGGGCTTTCCCTCTGTGCGGAAGGTCTTGTGTGTCTCGCCTGTTAGGGAATCAGTGCCCCTCCCACATGTTAGAGAAACAAGTTCTAGGAAGTCGAATCTGGAGCTCTGCAACTGCACCTGGTCATTGCAGTTATAGCCGCCTGTTTCTGTGCATGGATTAGCACTATGCTAAACCCTTAAAAGCAGTCATTTAGGCCTTACTCTAACCCTGCAAGATTGGCGTCTTGTCTCCTCTTTATTCAAAGGACTGTGAAGTTCAAGGAGGTCAGCTTGCTGAGAATTTGGTGGCAGAGCTTTTTTCCCCTCAGATGTTGATGTTTTTGGTACCTAGAATTTGTATGATTCCTCGACTCTTAAATGTTAAGATCAGAGATTGTACCTTATTCAAGCTAATACATATACTTTATTGTTATCTCTATTTCCGGTTATAAGAAAAGAAAATTTATAAAGTCATATTCTCATCTGAGGTCCAGGCCCCTTTCGAGGAATCTCCTTCCTCCCCCTTCCCTGCCCCCAGCTCTCCTTGAGGTAGTAGAACAAGTATGTTCATGTTCTACTTGGAAATTTTCAGAGAAGGACACGAGATCTTTGGGGGTATTACTTTGACAGCACTTTTCCGCACAGGCTCACTGCATGCACTTGGAAGCATTTGGCACTTTGGAAGGCCTTATTGCAATTGCACATACCTTGAGCCAATAATGCTGTTTATATGAGTTTATTCCAGAATTGCATAGTGCACTGAGAAATACTGATAAAGGTCATCATTGCAGCACTGTCTAGAGTAGCAGAGGATTGGACACAGACAAGTTCAGTGATTTGAAATGACCTTTAAGAACTATTGAGGAGAAGAGGAAGGTGTACTATAGTGTTTCTTGTCCTTGGGGTTAAATTACACAGCTTGGAACAGGGAAGGATAGAGGACTATATGCTTGTCTGTTAGGAGAATATTCTTGGATGCATGCCCAAGAAACAGGTTAGTGTTGATTCCTGAGAGGGTACTGGGGGCTTGGGGGAGGGTGAGCAGGAATGTTCTGTTGCATTGGATACCTTTTTGTAACATTTGTTATATTTACCACATGTATTAATAATAACAATAATAATAATAAAGCTTATGCTTGGCCTAGTAATTTTTCTTGACTCTGTTCTTGGCCATGATCGATAGTTGCAAATTTATATTGTGTTGTTTATATCTTCTAGGAAATTTTTTTCAGCCTATGGATCTGGTCAGAAAGCTTTTGATCTGTTCAACCCAAACTTCAAATCTACCTGTCAGCAGTAAGCCATTTTACAAGCCCTGGGTTGTTGTTTTTTTTGTTGTTGTTGTTTTGTTTTGTTTTGTTTTTTAAGGAATTTAATTACCAGTTTGAGGAGTTTAGTTGAATTCTGCTTGGGAAAAAGACCCATTAAGGGAAAGCTTGAGACCATCTAACAGCAGGTCTTGATGGCTCTCCCAGATACAGACCTAAGATGTGACTGCTTGGAATTCCAGGTTTGTGGAGAAGTACAGTGAGCTGCAGAAACTTGGAGAAACAGATGAAGAGAAATTATTTGTGGAAACAGGAAAGGCTTTATTGGCAGAAGGTGTCCTTTTAAGACGAGTAGGAGAAGCAAGGACTGTGAGTATTTTATTATTAAAATTGTTGTTAGGAGTAATTGCCTATTCATTAGGAGTAATTGCCTATTCATTAGAAGTTAAAGGAAGGCTTGGTTTTCCTTCCCCAACCTTGGCTTATGTCTCCTTGAACACCAGGTCAGACACTGGTAGATTAAATATACCAAAATTTAGGAAAATGGATACAATACACACACATACGTACACTGAAATTTTGTGATTGATTGCTACTTGGAGCAAGTGAGTTGTCGTTAGGGTTTTTGAAATAATTATGGTTCTGTAGAGATTTTTATCATGAGTATTGCTTGTTAAAATAGTATTTGACCTGGAATATAAGTGTTCAGTTTGGGCTCCGTGATAGAATGCGCTTAGTCCTATAGCTCCAGCCCGTCAGTGGAGCAAAAATGACAACATCTGTGTATTTCCGTCTGGTCTTTTAAGCAAAAGGAAGGCAGTCACGTTTCCTGGGAATCTGAACCTTCGAATGTGAAACCCCAAACAGCTCTGAGGGAAAACCAGCCTGTGCCAGGAGCCCTCCAGGACCAGCATACGGAGGCGGCTGCGGGACGGTCGCAAGGTCCCTCTCCTCCCTGAAGAATGCGTGTACCGTGTATACTGACATCCAAACTGTATTCACTGGATGAATGTTGAACTGTTTTTAACAGTTGAACTGTGTAAATGTTTCCTGGTCTCTAAGGCATTATGTTTGCCTTCTTTGAGTTCCTATTTCTAGGTTGTCATAAAACTCAGTTTCATGGTTTGAATGAACTTTTATGTCGGGATGGTATTAAATAAAGAATTCCCTGGCTGCTTATAAAGTAAATTTACTTTAAAATTGTAAATAGCATAAGGAAACCTTTATAAGTATTGTTTGAGTGGGACTTGTTCTGAGTAGGTTTGCTTGGATTTTTGTGTTAATGTGTGGATTGGCTCTGTTTGATCCTCTGGTGTCTTTCTCTTTTCTGGCCCCATCAGGCTTCTACTTGTGGTTTGTTCCCTGGGCTAACTGTTTCTGTCTGCAGGTAATCTTTACATTTTGCTGTGGAACTATCGATCTTCAACTTGAGAGGCTAAGCTGACTTGTGCTTTGTGGTAAGAGTGAGAACCCATCATTGATGATAGACAGGTCAGAACTCTAACTTTAGTCTCATAGATTGAGGGTGCTGGAGACAGTTAGCATCGGCCTAAACATAGGAGGCTGCTCGGTAAAGACTTGAATGAATAAGTGATTACATCCAGCTAAAGACTGAATTCGGATGACTTCTCCATAGATAACTGGGTTGCCAAGAGTGGGCCAGCTAATGTAGCTGCTGCTGCTGCCTGCTAGCGCCCACCAGCCTCCCCGGTGTTGAGATGCACTTACAAGACCTTACCAACGGCTCTGCTTTCTTCGTTTTCATATCTTTTACCGAATACACGGAATATTTCTCTGAGTTCTTAGCCTTATTATTTGTGGTCAGGCCAGTGGTTTTCAGCTACTAGTAATAAACTGCTTCAGAAATTGTTTGTTTTATTTATTTACTTTATTATTATTATTATTTAATGTTTATTTTTGAGAGAGAGAGACCGCATGGGTGGGGGCGGGGCAGAGAGAGAGAGGGGGAGACGCAGAATCCAAAGCAGGCTCCAGGCTCTGAGCTGTCAGCACAGAGCCTGCTGTGGGGCTCAAACACACAAACCATGAGATCGTGACATGAGCTGAAGTCAGACACTTAACTGACTGAGCCACCCAGGTGTCCCAGAAAGTGTTTATTTTAAAATTCATAATCGTTTTTCTGTTGTTTGTGTACAGTCTCCTCTGTGTCCTGGTGGACTAAGGGCAGAGCCCACCCGTCGGCCTGTACGCAGCCTTGCACACGTGCTTCGTGAACGGAAGGTGAATGAGTACATGAGGCGAAGGCGATTTTAAGCCGTGCTGCACCCTCCTGCCACCTTTACCATTGTTTGGCAGTTCCTCTCGTTTGGGGATGCTCTACTTTGATTTTGCTTACTTGTTTATTTTTAAGTTATTGGTGGGGAGGGGTAGAGGGAGATGGAGAGAGAGAATCCCAAGCAGACTCCACACTGTCAGCGCAAAGCCTGACACGGGGCTCGATCCCACAAACCGTGAGATCATGACCTGCGCTAAAACCTGCAGTCGGACGCCTGACTGACTGAGCCACGCAGCGCCGTGGGGATGCTTTAACTTTAGGTGGGAAAGTAAATCTCATCCGTTCAACGACCGTGGACAACCAGTGGGTGCCAGGCCTTGGGAGGAGGACTTAAGCAGGTGAAAGAGACAACTGTGCGCTCAGAGGAACAGTTGGAGGTCACTAGTTACTTTTCTAAACCTTATGTTTCTGGGGTTTAAAAGGCAGTTTCTTTGCCATAATCATGAAGACACTTTTAGAAAGTTGTTGGATACTTTTTTTTTTTTTTTTAATTCTGTTTTAGAGAGAGAGTGTGAGCCGGGGGGCGGGGCAGAGAGTGGAGTGGGTGTGGAGCCCAACGTGGGGCTCGATCCCACAACCCCTGGGATAGTGACCTGAGCTGAAACCAAGAGTCCGACGCTTAACTGACTGAGCCACCCAGGTGCTCCTTCATATACTTTTAAAAAATACTATACATGCACATGGTTCAGGATTTAGAGATAAAAAGCCAGTCTCCTTTCCAAAACCTGTCCTCAGCCACCTAGTTTCTCCCTCAAGGCCACCACCATCATTGTGTTCTTCCCAGAAGTATTTTGGGCATGTGCACGGGGACACTGCTTGCCGTCCTGTACCGCGGTTTCCTCTTACTGGGTTTCCCTTCCTCTGTGTGGGTGTGCAGCAATTGAGTGAGTGCCAGGGGACAGAGTGGCGCTGTGTCTTGTGCTGCGAACAGGCCGGTGTTGCTGTGGGCACATTCTTAGCAGGGGTGCTGCTGGTCTCGGGAATAGCTCGTCTTTACTTTCAAGACTGCCCTGCATAGAAACCGCTCACTTCTACTCCTGCCAGCAATACAGGTTGATGCCTGTACCCCGACACCCTCACCAGCACGATCCGGTCTTGTTAAGTCAGGCGAGGACTCTTCTGTGAAGACCCCCAAGCCTGGTAGAGGGGAGAGAGACTAGCCCTTATGGCAGACTTCCTTTAGGTTGAATCTCAGTGGTCAAAGCAGTGAACATTGTGAAGTTTACTAGAGAATCCAGAGCTCTTCCCACAATTGGTGGCAGCAAAAGCCACGGTCGGGTCCCTATAGGGATGTTTGGAGAGAATGGAAGTGTGACCTCATTCCTTTAGGGAGCTTAAAATCCAGCTGGGGAGACCGAGGTGACTTTGGAAGCCATAGATGAACAGGAATCCGTTTAAATTATGATAGAAAATTACGGAAGAGCTGGGGGGAGGAGCCACCTCTGGACCAGTCCGGGAAGATGCAGAGAGCCTCGTAAGATGGGGGCGGTTGGAGAATGCACAGCATTTCCTCTGCCAGGAGGGCCCTTCCTGCCACCACAGTCTTTAGAAACTACCTTCACTGCCATTTCCAAATGGTGCCTGCTCGGATGTGAGGGCGATCTGGCTGCGACATCTGTCACCCCGTTGATCGCCAGGGTTGATTCGGCTGATCTGGCTGGCTAGGCAGGCGTCCCCTTCCTCCCTCACCGCTCCATGTGCGTCCCTCCCTAAGCTGTGCACTCGGTCGAAGAGGACGACCTTCCCCGATAGAGGAGGACTGTTCTTCGGTCAGGGGTATACTGCGCTCCCCTGCTAGAACCTCCAAACAAGCTCCCAAATGGTGCCTGCTCAGAAACGTTACCTGATGTTCAAGTCCGATCTCAAGTCCCTTACGGAGCCCTTCCAGGCCGCACTCATGCACGTCATTCAGTTGGCGCATCTGGTCCGCTACTTACAGTCCTTCCTTGCTTACCCTGGTCGTCCATTCCAGGGTTCCTCTATCTTCCCTTCCCTACCCCGCCCCCACTCACTCCCCTTCTCTCCCCTCCCCTCCCCTTTATTTTCAGGCAGTTTCTTCTTTAAAAAAAAAATTTTTTTTTAACGTTTATTCATTCTTGAGAGAGAGAACATGTATGGGGGAGGGGCAGAGAGAGACACACACTCAGACACACAGACACACAGAATCCGAAGCAGGCTCCAGGCTCTGAGAGCTCGACGTGGGGCTTGAACCACAAACCCTGAGATCATGACCCAAGCTGAAGTCGGACGCTTAACCGACTGAGCCACCCAGGCGCCCCTCTTCTTCTTTTAATGTGTATTTATTTTTGCAAGAGAGAGAGAAAGATCCCAAGCAGGCACCATGCTGTCAGAGCAGAGCCTGCCTACGCAGCGATGAACTCCCGAACTGTGAGATCATGACCCGAGCGGAAATTAAGAGTCAGACACTTAACCAGCCGAGCCACCCAGGTGCCCCAGGGTCCCTCTTTCTATCCAGAGTATAAACTGTAGAAATTCTTACTTGTACCCACTAAAGCAGGAAACAGAGGCTTTCTAGGGCAGGCCCTCCATGTGGGTTTGCTGAGCCAAAGCCAAGGAAGGCCTATGTCCAGGTTACTTGCAAAGACAAGTTTGAAGATCTGGGACTAGCTCTGGTTACTCTAGTTTTTGCTGGTGTGACCTTGTGCCTATGCTGGTCTCTGACTACAAAATAGGGGTAATGTTTGCTTCTTTGGCTTCTAGACAGTATTGTGAAAATTGAGACAAAGAATGCAAAGCTCACCTGTAATACTACGCTTGAGGAGTAGTGGGAAAAGGTTTGAACAGATGGGCTGGGATCAGACCACCGTGGCCCCAGTAACTACCCAGAGTTGTTCCGTTGGGTATAAGAAAGTTCGACCAGGAAGTAATGTAGTGAAAGCAGTGTCAGGTGGAAGGAAGATTTGCTCAGATGTGATCCAAAACATGGGGTTGGCGGAGCGCGCAGGGAAGGGAGAGGGAGGGGAGAGGAGACCCGTCAGACTTGGGTCTCTGCAGCCATCCCAGTTGGAGGCGGGTTCCAAGGTTACAAACCTGAGTGGACCAGAGGAATAGCTGCCTCACCAACAGGCAGCAAGGTTGGGAAGAGGCAGTCCTCAAACAGTGAGTTGCGGATGGGGGCTGGGGGAGGAAAGAGGGGGTGAGGGGGTGCTGCGTCATCTAAGTCGCAGACGGAGATGAGTCAGGTGTCTGCGAGATGGGGAGCAAGTTCCTAGCAAAGGGGAAGGGTTGGAGCCAGGAGAATGGATGAGCTCTCCAAGGGGTGTGTAGAGAGGTACAGGGTGTGGGGGGCTGACCCAGGCAAGTGCTCTCAGTTAAGGGACAGAAGGGACAAGAAAGCCAACAAAGGACATAGGTCCCACATCTGCCATCATCTACATAGCAAGACTTAAACCTGGTCCTGGATTCACAAGGTGGTTTTTTTTTTTTTTTTTTTTTAATGTTTTATTTCTGAGAGAGACAGAGAGAGACAGCATGAGAAGGGGAGGGTCAGAGAGAGAGGGAGACACAGAATCCAAAACAGGCTCCAGGCTCCAAGCTGGCTGTCAGCACACAGCCTGACATGGGACTCGAACCCACGAGCCGTGAGATCATGACCTGAGGCCGAAGTCAGCTGCCCAACGGACTGAGCCACCCAGGTACCCCTGGACTCACAAGGTTTTGTAGAGTTCTTCATTTTGTTCAGCAGGCCTGATTCTTGATCGTACGCCCTTAAAAGGCGTAGCCCTAGTCTTTTTGTAATTTCGTGTAATATTTAGTGTCATGTTTTCTGATAATGAAAGTAGTTTACAGAAAAATCAGTGCTCCCACAGGTCCCTGATTTTGTTAAACTTTTCCCTGTAAATAAATGATGGCTTGCCACCTAAAACATTCTACAGGTTCTGTGGCTCAGTCGGGTAAGCGTCCGACTTTGGCTCAGGTCATGATCTCACTGCTCTTGAGTTCAAGCCCCCCATCAGGCTCTGTGCTGACGGCTCAGAGCCTGGAGCCTGCTTCCAATTCTGTCTCTGTCTCTCTGCCCCTCCCTTGCTCATGCTCTGTCTCTCTCTCTCAAAGATAAAAAATATAAACTAAAATAAAACATGAAGTCATTTGTGTGGAATGGTAAGATTTTCTCTGAGCCTTGCAACATCTGTCTGCTCTTGGGAATCCAGACAGGCCTGCAGCCATGACCAAGCCTAACTGAACTGGGCTGGCAGTTTTCTGGACCGCATGGGCACTGGGGCATATGACATGATGGGGCTTTGATTGTGGGAGTGCATGGACTGCCTCAGAGGCATGTGGAGCTGGGAACGAGGAATGGTGAGTGTGTGTGTGTGTGTGTGTGTGTGCGCGCGCGTGCGCGCGTGCGCATGGTCCCGGGCATGCAATGATTACTTTGTTCTGGGTCTCCATGTGCCTGAGCTCTCTTCCAGAACAGCCAAAAGGTAGAGGGCTGACTGGCGGCCTTAGTCATGTGTTTTCAGCCTTTAATGGCACTCAGTGAGATGGATGTCTGACAGGTTCAGTGGGCAACTTAGTTGGGGTCACCTTGAATGGTGGAGGAAGGGCACCTG